GAGAGTTGGAATTGATAAATATATCATGATCGCCCTTCTTTTCAATGGGTATTGATTTATTGCAATAGTCTCGCCAATTGATATGGCGGGGACTCAAATGAGTCAGACCAAATGGCGGGATTCATGCAGACACGTGAATTGGATCCTATGTGGCTGCTGATCACGTCGATGTATGTGGCGGGACTGGTCACGTCAGTCAACCCTACGTGTTTGACTGCTCTACTCTCGTCAATATTTACGGATGTGTTTCAGCGTGGAGATACTTTTACAAATTAACACTAGTACGAAATTTTTGCCCTCTTATTTGGTGAAACTTTGAAATTTGAATAGAAGACTGATGCTATAAATAGGATTAGAAGCGGTCAAGGGCTTTTTATCATTTTTTACATTTCAACTACTTTTTGAATTTACTGTAGCTAGAGAGAGAAACAGTTATTTCTTAGTTTTTAGGAAGCATTTGGTACATAAGAAATTTTTATTTGTCTGAAAATCTCAATTTTTAAAATATGATTTTTACATTCAGTTTACGATAATATCTAAAAATTTAAAATTTTAAAAATTTCAGTTTCCCAATAATCAGAACCTACTCTCTACAACTTTCTTCCTTCTTCCTCTTCCTTTGTGCAACTTTTCTAATTGGAAAGCTTGAAGGTAGTGTTTGGTAGAAGATTTATTTTGGGATTGATGGGAAAGTGTAAGTGGATATTGGAAAATATCACGTTTAGTTCAGGTTTTTGAAAAAAATACTAGACAAATAGGATAGATGAAGAAATGACTTTTGCGTTGATTTTTGGATGAAATTCACTGTTACAGAATGCCATTTGAGATGTGGTATTTTGAGATAACTGAGGAAGTGAAAAAACAGGTGCGAAGTTTCTCTCTAACATAGATTTTGCAAATTTAAATAAATTTCCCTGGTAATATTTCGATCAACCAGATAACTTTTTTTACATTTTCTTACCAAACTCACTTTTCAACCATTTCCCTAGTATTCAAAAAATTTCTCCTCAACCAAACGTCCCCGAAGAAACTTCTGATTGAAGTTCTTATAGTAGATTCAACTTCTCTTCATCTTAATTTTACTTTTCAGTTTTTGTAACCATTGAATTTGAGTAATATAATGGAATGTTTGATTCAGTTTGTGAATTTGTACCGTAAATCTATGGAAAGCTAAACTTTTGATCCATATCTGAATGCACTCACAAATACCTTATAATTGAGTCTGAATCTTGTTATGACCCTTTATCAATTTGTTCAAGGATTGTTTGAAGAACATTTATCTTCTTATTTGGCCAATTGGAATGAGGAAATTGAGGATTGATTGTTGGAAAACAACATCTGAAATCACCTTGAGCACTGTGTTGGCTTGATTAGGAATAATTAGGGGTGTGCAAAAAAACTGATTAACTTGCCCTGCCATTGATCCGACCTTGACCCGACCCATAAATACCCATATTTTTTTGAACTGGTTTAAATACTGACCCACTTTTATTTGGGTCAGTTTTAGACCTGACTCGTTTTAATATTGCCCCACTGACCCAAAACTTGACCCATACCCATTATGTGAAAAAAAATCACAATTACATTAAAAGAAAAGTTTTAACGTAAAACAATTACGTCAAATTTTTTTATGGAAAATATTTTCAAAAAAAATTTCGCAAAAATTTTTGACGAAAAATATTTTCATTAAAATTTGTGACTAAAACATATCGTTAAAAAAATTTGACGGAATATTTGACAAATATTCCGTCAAATTTTTTTACAGAATCTAAATTTCGTTAAAATATTTCACAAAAAAATATATTCATAAAAACTTTCGATGAAACACATTTTCATCGAAATTCTTTGACGGAAAAAAATTTCATCAAAATTCTTTACAGATTTCAAATTTCGGCGAAAGTTTTCGACGAAAACATTTTCGTTAAACTTTTTGACAAAAAAAAAATTCATCGAAATTTTTAGCGAAACACATTTCTATAAAAAATTTTCGACTAAATATTTTCGTCAAGTTTTTTGATAAAGAATATATCCATCAAAATTTTCAACAGAACACATTTCTGTAAAAAAAATTCGTAAAATTTTTTGACAAAAATATTTCGATAAGAAATTTTGACAGAAAAAATATTTTGTCTAAATTCTTTAGAGAATCTAAATTTCGTCGAATGTTTCAAATGAAACATTTTCCTCAAAACAATTTCCATTGAAAATTTCGACGAAACACATTTCCATCAAAAAATTTCGACGGCAAAAAATTTCATTAAAATTCTTTACAGATTTCAAATTTCGCGAAAGTTTTGAACGGAAATATTTTCGTCATTAAAAAATCTTGACGGCAAAAAAATTCATCAAAATTCTTTACAGATTTCAAATTTTGGCGAAAGTTTTCGACAGAAACATTTTCGTCATCAAAAAATTTTGACGGCAACAAATATCGACGGCAAAAAATTTTATCAAAATTCTTTACAGATTTTAAATTTCGGCAAAAGTTTTCGACGGAAACATTTTCGTCATCAAAAAATTTTGACGGCAAAAAAATTCATCGAAATTTTTTACAGATTTCAAATTTCGACGAAAAAATTTTCGTTAAATTTTTAGACAAAAAAAAATTTTCATCGAAAGTTTTAGCGAAACACATTTCCATCGAAAATTTTCAACTAAATATTTTCGTCAAGTTTTTCCATCAAAATTTTCAACGAAACACATTTCTATAAAAAAATTCCGTAAATTTTTTTGACAAAAAAAACATTTTGACGAAAAAAATATTTAGTCAAAATTCTTTAGAGAATCTAATTTTCGTCGAAAGTTTCAAATGAAACATTTCCCTCGAAATAATTTCCGTCAAAATTTTCGTCAGAACACATTCCTATCGAAATTTGATCCGAATAATCAATCACAGATAACTTATATCTAGGACGTTCATTACATTTGAGAGTGAATGTCATTAGGAATAATGCATTTCATGATCAAATTAGCATTTTGTCACAGGAAAGTGCAGAACCGCTATAGTGAATTAGTTAGTTGATAAAGATATTGTAGTGGATTTTGAAAATTTTAATAAAAAATAAGATATTTAAAAGTAGTTCAGATCTGGTGCTTCATTAATCAATAAAACCTTTTCTCTATGAATCAGTAATTTAATTTTTGCAGCATATCAATTTTATACTTAGTTCAATTGCTTTTCTTCTCTTAGTTCATGATACTTCATTTGATCGTGAGAAACTTCATTGAATACATTATTATATAAAAGGTTTTATTAATGTTATGTTACATAACTTAAATTTTGTTTTCAACACACAACAAAAGTGAGAGAGAAAGTGGAATGATGAAAGAGAAAGAAAAACATGTGGATCCCACCTCTCTAATGTGTGTGTAGAAAAGTAAAGTTGTGTTATGTTACATAATAAACATAAAACCCTTATATAAACTCATACTCACACACTAATACTTCTTGATCATGTATACTTACATGTGCGATAACTCTCTTCCTTCAGTATTCATAATCATATGTTTGGAGATTTACAAACAATTCACTTAAGTGGATTAGATGATAAGCACTCTCAACAAGTAGGTAGAATAAGAATATAAACCCCCCACACACGCACACCAAAAAAAAAAAAAACAAATACTCTTGTAGCTAGCCTAGCAAATATTGATCTCTTCAGTTTAAATAAGGCAAATCTTTGAAGATAAATCTTAATTTTACCCTATATATATATATATATATATATATATATATATATATATATATATATATATATATATATGCTTTAATGTTTCTAAAGTGAATGTAGATAAGTTATCTACATTCACTTTCAAAACGACGTCGTTTTGAGTTAAAAAATTATAATAAAAAAGACTATTATAACCTTGAAATAAATTATAATTATAAAAATACCTTGATTTCCGCCTTGAATCGATGTTGTTTTGAGCTCAATGTAGATAAGTTATCTACATTGACTTTAGAAAAAGCGAACCCATATATATATATATATATATGCGTTTGGTGTTTGTCATTTTAAATGATATAAATTATGTCATTTTAGAAGAGAAATAGACACAAAGAGTGAAAATCATGGGGAGAGAGTGAGTGATTTTTTTTAATTTAAATTTTAAATAAAAAATTATATTTTATGTCTATATCTCTCTTAAAATGACATAACATTATGTTATTTAAAATGACAAACATTTTTCCATATATATATATATATATGTGTGTGAAAAAAATATTTGTCATTTTAAATCACATAACACTCTGTCCTTTTAAGAGAGAGACAGACAAGAAAAAAAATTTATTTCAATTTTAAATTAAAAAAAATCATTCACTTTTTCTCTCCCATGATTTTCATGTTTCTGTGTCTATCTCTCTCCTAAAATGACATAACTTATATCATTTAAAATGACAAATACCAAACCCTATATATATATATATATATATATATAGAGTAAACACTCTTTTTAGTCCCTGCTGAAAATAAAAAAGGATCAAATTGGTCCCTGAAATTACAAAAAAGGGTCATATTAGTCCTTATGTCAACTCCCAAATATGTAGAGTGACCCTTTTCTTGTACTTTCAGAGACCAATTTGATCCTTTTTTATTGCCAGAGACTGAAAAGGACTTCGTAGATATTGCCAGAGACTAAAAAGGGTGTTTACTATATATATATATATATATATATATATATATATATATATATATATATATATAGGGGAGGGTTCTTTTGACTCCAGAGTAAGACTTTTAAGTCTTACTCCAAATCCCAGCCGTTGATGGACAGAAATCAACGGTTGTCATTAATAGTATAATTAATAATTAATTAATTAATATAACTTCCTAAATTATAACCGTTGGATAGACGAAAATCAACGGTTAGGATGGAGAGTAAGACTTATAAGTCTTACTCTCGAGTCAAATGATCTCTCTCCATATATATATATATATATATATATATATATATATATATAGGTTGTTAGAAGCTTGTCTGTGAAAAAAATGAGATAAAATTCAATGCTGATAGAAGATACATCACTACCAAATCTTAAATTTGGTCTGATGCTGCCGTAGTTCGATTTCTAAGTTAACATTTATAAATATACTCAACAATAAATAGATTCGATTAAGATATTCGCACCCTAAAAAAGATAGATACCAAAATTGATTGCAATTTGATAAATCAAATAAGAAGTCACCGGAAGACCGGCGCTATCTGTTTATGAGCTAATTCAAGAAGTTGAGGGCACAATTTATCTTTACAAAACTGTGCGCCACATTCATTACTCTTCACTTCAACTACCGCAAGCTCATCCGTTAACCGGTAAACCACAACGAGAGCAATCAAATTACCATCCTGCCCTTCCAACTTGGCCCCACCTCCATTCCCCTTCCTCGTCACCGTAAATCTTGCACCGTTCGCTACCTCCTCCACCTTCTCCATGATCCTCTCCGGTTCCTCCCCTGAAACGACCCGTTCCACGGTATCCAACACACTCGGGTCAGAAAACAAACCCGACATGTCCAACCCGCTTGAAAACGATATTAAATCAAACGCGTTCAAAGACTTGAACCCGGTTCGAGCCTCCTCCCACTCGGGTTGCTTAAGTAAAACCCGGTCGGGCCGGTATCCACCCGTTTTGAACCACGTGTCTTGGAGAATCTCATCTACCGTTATCCTCGTTTGTGGATTCGGATCCAACAAACGTGATAAGAGGTTTCTCAGATCATTGGACGTCCATTTTGGGCAGCGAAATTGACCGCGGTAAATTTTTCTGTACAGGATCGTAATATTGTAGTCATTGAAGGGTAAATACCCAGCGGTGAGAGCGTACAAAACGACGCCGCATGACCAGACGTCAACTTTTTCACCATCGTAACCTCTCTTCGCGAGAATCTCAGGTGCCACGTAGGTAGGGGTCCCACAAACAGTGTGGAGCAACCCGTCGGGTCGGATCTGATCCTCCACTGCGCTCAACCCGAAATCCGAGACTTTTAGGTTCCCGTTTTCGTCGATTAAGAGGTTGTCGAGCTTGAGGTCGCGGTGGAAGATGCTTTGGGAGTGGCAGTGCTTGACGGCGGAGATTAGCTGCTGGAAATATCTCCGGCCTAGGTCTTCCGTCAGGCGTCCCTTGTCGGCGACCTCGCTGAAGAGCTCGCCGCCGGAGGCAAACTCCATGACGAAGTAAATCTTGGTCTTGGTGGCTAGGACTTCGAAGAGGTTAACGATGTTTGGGTGGTTGAGGCGGCGCATGATTGAGATCTCGCGTTCAACGTTGGCGGCGAAGCCACCGTTGAGAACCTTGTGCTTGCTGACAACCTTCACCGCCACGCTCTGACCAGTGTCCAAGTTCGTCGCGTGGTAGACTTTGCCGGATGCACCAACTCCCAGCAACCTCCGAAGCTCGTATTTACCGAACAAAACGACAACCGGTGCCACCTCGTCCTTTGTCGTCGACAACGCTGTCTCTGTTTCTGTTTCTGTAACGGTGTCGTTCTGTGTTTCACTCATGGTTGTTGCAACTAACTAACTGAACTAAAGGGGGTGGTTTGGGTTTGGGGTTGCAACAGTGATTAATAATTTTGTAGATTTCCTAGCTAACTGGCTTTGCTTGTTTATTAAGGAACAACAAGAGCCACACACTAGAAGGAATTGGGACTTAATTGAAGTGTTTTTGTTACAGAAAAAGAGGAGCAAGCAATGTTGTGTTAAAGAGGCTTGTAAAGAATGGCTATTTAAAGATGATGACTACCCTTTCAATTTCAACCTTTTATTTTTCTTTATTTATTTTTTAATATAACCAGATTTGGTGATGTTGGTATAATAATAATAATAATATACTGTCACAGTAATAGCATGGTTAAAACGAACCACTCGATTCACACATGAATAGGAAGAGAATTTGAATTCAATTATCATTCAATACATCTTTGGAAGAAATAAATAGTTTTAACAGTCACTAATTTTCTATTTAAAATTAATTGCATAGCCAGCGTAAAAAAATCAAAATTTATAAGGATATTCGAAAGTCAAATTATCTTCAGAGAGATAATTAGTGCAAGATAATTGATGTCCGTATATATATATAAAGGAAAAAAAAAAAAAACAACATCGGTAATAAGTACGAAAACACGTTTGAGCTGAATGACTGCCGTATACACGGTTTGATTCTGAAATTGGTGTTTATGGTGTAAAGGGCGCGTGAGTGAGACACAGAGTATCGACAACAGAATCAATGGTAAATGGACAGGCAAGCGATAAGGATAGACATCGTACGACTGTACACTCTGTCTGAATATGAACATGAACATGCACATGCCTGAGACGAAGCACTTATCAATTATCATGTTAGAAGCTTACATATATTTTTATAAAATAATGTTTTTTTGTTTTTATTTCTTTAAATAAGAAATTGTTGGAACTTTAGCGATTTCTCTTGAGCGATTCGTGGATAAACTCACCAAACAATAATTCAGTTACATTGTATCATTTTGTATGCATTGTATTAGTTGTGTTGTCATTATTATTTTTATTATTATACACTAATATTAACGTTAAAATTAATCAATGCGGCAGATGTTAAATCATACAGGATAGGATAATCTATCATGCACCGAGAGTACCACTTATTTTTCTTCTTACGTGTGCACTAAAGCAATACATTACACAGAAAATAAATGGCTTAAAATGACGGGAGTACCACGTCAAAAAGTGATTGATGTAATGGGCGTTGAGACCTAATTAGTATGATTTATATAACATATAAAAATATGTATAATAGGTACAAGAGTTTTTCTTGGATTTTCTTTTCTATCTTGATTATTTTTGAAACACAAGGATGTCAAAATAAAGACATGGCAAAGCAAAAAGAAATAAAAATGGTGGCTTTACAGAAAGCCTGACCTTTTGCTTGCACCCAGTGTCAAACTAATAATTTCAACTGTTATATTTTATTAATCAAAACTCTAATTAAATAGACAATTACACATAAAAATCATAATGCATGAAAATAGAAATCACCCAAAACTACTTCTACCCACTTTGCTAGGGTTGTGGAGATTCCCAAGACATATTCAAACAAATTCAAATACTAGTCTAGCAACAATAACAAAATAATAAAATAAAATAAAATAGAAACTAAAAAATTCGTAACATTCCATCTCCTTAAAAATTACTCTTGTCCCTAAGAGTAATTCCTTTTATTTTTATTTTATTTTCACCTGTCGGGCAGCTCCTCTTCGAGCTCCATATCAGCTTCTTCGTCGCTACCCTCCATGATAGCGTGAATTGCGAATAACTTCTTACAACGGCGACCCAGTACATAAGTCTCATTACAACGAAAGCATAAGCCATTCCGTCTTCGTTCCAAGATTTCATCAAAGGATAATCGTTTGACCTATGGATTTTCGCTTCGAGTTGGGTTATTCATGAGGGAAAGGGTTGGACTTGTGGTATTTGGGGAGGTCTGGGTATTCCGCGCCTCATACATCTTGGCAAGCCCAATAGCATTAGATAAGGAAGTGGGTCGATTTGCTTTGCACATCTGCCCGAAGAGTCTCAGAGAGCCCACTTATGAAGCAACTTTCCTGCCTTGACACCTCCAATCGTCCAAACTTGGAGAGCAATTTCTCAAATTGGCTTTGGTATTCTTGCACCGTACCATGTTGCTCCAACTTGGTCAATTCTCCAAAGAAATCAACAAATTGATTGGCACCGTAGCGTTGCAGTATTTCTTCCTGAAACTTCAACCAAGTGATATGGGAATGGTCTTGGATGAGTAATTGGTACCACAACTGAGCATCTCCTGTGAAATGGAAAGATGCTAGTGAAACTCTTTCTTCTTCTGGGGTGTGATGACATTGGAAGAATTGTTCAGCTCGGCATAGCCAACTAGTTGGGTCTTTATTGTCATTGAATCGCGGAAAATCCAACTTGACCACCTTGGGAGCGTATGTTGCGTGCGATTCTGAAGCATTATGGGAGCTACTTCCAGAATTATTCCCTTTCTGACGTGTTGGTGTGGTGGCCATAACATCCAACCAATTGGAAAGTTGAGCGAACATCTCTTTAAATTGTTCTGACAATGACTGGATTGCATTTTCCAATCTCTCCACACATTCATCCATGTCTGTGATCTGATACCAAGCTAGTACGTACAAGGGTTTTTCTTGGGTTTTCTTCCCTATCTTGACTATTTTTGTAACACAAGGATGGCAAAATAAAGAGATGGCAAAGCAAAAAGAAATAAAAACGGTGGCTTTACTGAGGAAGCCTGACCTCTTGCTTACACACAGTGTCAAACTAATAATTTCAACTGTTATGTTTTATTAATCAAAACTCTAATTAAATAGACAATTACACATGAAAGCCATAATGCATGAAAATAGAAGCCACCTAAAACTACCTCTACCCACTTTGCTAGGCTTGTGGAAACTACCAAGACTTATTCAAACAAATTCAAATACTAGTCTAGCAACAATCACAAAATAATAAAATAAAAACTAAAAAATTCGTAACACTCTGGTACGTACAAGGGTTTTTCTTGGGTTTTCTTCCCTATCTTGGCTATTTTTGTAACACAAGGATGACAAAACAAAGAGATGGCAAAGCAAAAAGAAATAAAAATGGTGGCTTTACTGAGGAAGCCTGACCTCTTGCTTGCACACAGTGCCAAACTAATAATTTCAACTGTTATGTTTTATTAATCAAAACTCTAATTAAATAAATAATTACACATGAAAGCCACAATGCATGAAAATAGAAACCACCTAAAACTACCTCTATTCACTTTGCTAGGCTTGTGGAAACTGCCAAGAGTCAAACAAATTCAAATACTAGTCTAGCTAGCAGCAATAACAAAATAATAAAATAAAATAAATAAAAACTAAAAAATTCGTAACAATGTAGGGTTCATATTTTTTTCCTCTTATTTTTACATGATCTCATATCTGCTCCTGGAGTGCTAAACATATCAGGGGCCTTTGACTCGGCTCGTGAAGGCTTGAGCTTACATGTCTAAAATTGGTTGTTAGAACCAGACTTGAACTTGTATAAAAGTTTGTTTAATAAAAAGGCCTCAAGCTCCAATTGAAAAGCTCGGCCTTAGAGCCTCTCAGGCTGGCCTAGTATATTAATTCTTATTTTTATTTTATATTTTTTATACTGCTTGTAATAGCCCTCTCTCACTTCTCAATCCATTTCTTCCCATTTTATTGGTTAAACAGACTTTTTGAATGATTTTGTTCTATATTATGCTGTTTGGATATACATTGAATTTATGAATATATATGTAATTACTAGTGCTATTGATTCTATATTCTGCTTGGATAAATTTTTGTTATCTTATTTTTTTAAAGAGACTAACAGGTTAAATCAGGCTTTTATTTTTTGTAAATGAGTCAGGCCACAGGCCGATAATTATATTCATAACAGGTAACAGGCTTGGTCAGGCTGGCACATATAAACATAGGCTTAGCTTCTTATGACCAAAGCTCGGCTCGGCCCGTTAACACCCCTATCTGCTCCATACACTTTTATATGTATATTTTAGATAAAATTATCCACTAGAATATAAGAAACATTAATCTCGTGTATATATGGATTTAGGACTTACAAATATTATAATTTATTGGGTCACACTTATTATTTAATTATTAATTCGCAATAAATTATAACAGATAGATTCACAGAAATCAACGGTTAAGATTTAATGTCAAACTTTATAACTTGACACCGATATCAAATGATCATGTCCATATATATATATATATATATATATATATATATTGGTTAGAATCATTTTACACCGGTGTAACTTATATTTTGAATCTTGATCGTTTATCTTATTTATATCTAATGGTTCTAATATATTGTAAATTAGAACCGTTTGATGCAAGTAAATCAATGAACAAGATTTGATACAAGACTTTTTTTTCTTGTATCGGTATAAGAATCATTGATTTGATATAAGACTTTTTTTTTTCTTGTACCGATATAAGAATGTCCTGAGCGTATCAACACACACACACACAGAGATATGTCCAAGGTTATGTTTATATTCATATAATCTATATTTAACGGTCATAAATTTTTAATGGCTAAAGTTATTTTTATATCGGTATAATAATAAAAAATTTACACCAAATCTCATCATTGATTTAATTGTATCTAACAACTCACATATCTAATAAATCAGAGGCATCAGATATAAATATGATCAACGACCAAGATTGATATGGTAACTTACACCGGTGAAAAATGATCTTAACCCTATTTTTTAATTATGTGAGCCATTAGATAAAAGTGAATCAATGACCATGAATAAGTGTAAAACAAGAAGTTTTACACCCAATTTCGGTCATTGATTAACGACTTACATATATAATAAATTAGAGCCAATAAATTTAAATAGGATCAACAATCAAGATTAAAGTGCACCTTATACTGGAGTCAAATGATATATATATATATATATATATATATATATATATATATATATATATATATATATATATATATATATATATATATATCAGGATCAACTTATACCTGTATAAAAATAATAAGTCTTACACCAGATCTTAGCTGTTAGTTTCTCGATATCTAATAGTTGTGATTTATTGAAAATTAATAATCAATTAATGAGTATGCTCCAATAAATTATAACCGTTAGATGCACGAAAATTAACGGTTG